TGAAACACTTTTGTAAACCTAGGATTAACTCTAATCCCATTGTGGAAAATAGCCTATAACTGTTGCGACAACTTCAAGTTAACTCTAATTTGAATACTCCGAGTACGTATGTTACAACCCATATCCACACACGTTAGTTCATGCCATATATTAGTTAACATAAATCCAAGAAGTAATTACCTTTGAGATGATAAGAAGTTAATCCTATTGGTATTAAGTGATATAAGGTTGTATAAGGGTGATTAACAAGTATTAGAAGTTAAACGAATCAAGGATGTTGTAACTCATATTTTCAGGTAAACCTAGAGGTTCTTAATACACTCAAGAGGTCATGTATTAAGATATTTGAATCATATAATATCCGTATCATAAGTCTTAAAGTCAAACGAGTTATGAAACAAAAGTCGACAAACATTGTCGCAACTTAGGTTCATAATTTTACTTAAACATTAGGTCAAATGTTTATAAGCTTTTCTCCTAATTTACAAGGAATTACGGGAGATCTACCCACCAAATTAAAGATCTATGAGTCTAGTTTCCAACTCATTAAACTGTTTGTCAATACGATCTCGGAGTATAGAGATATTCATATTTTTGCAAGCCTGCGCAGATTGGTAGATGACAAGTAGGTGCATCACCTACTTGCCAAAATGATAGGACAAAATTAAAAGACCTAAGTCGGCCAAGAGAGGACTTTTAAGGGGTTATGAACTCAGTTATTTCATCCATATTTTAAACCCTCAAAACCAAAGTTAACCCCTGCAACTCCTCCCCAAAAATCCCACACAAACCCTAATCGATTTTCCCTCTCTTTCAAGTTCTATTTGAAGGTAAAACCTAGAGTTTGAAGAACCAAAGGAAGGGCTGAGTTATCCAACAAGTAAGTTAAGTTACATCCATCTTTCATACATTTTTCTCTGTTGTGAATTCATGATAATTTGTTCTATACATGTAAGAACTCATGGGACGGTGATCGGAAGTCATGAGTTCGAGTTATTCACTTGTAGCAGACTATTTTGTGGACTATTTTGTATTGTTGTTGGGATGCATGTTTTACTACTGTTTTGTGGAGTTTTGGAGGTGGAAGTGTGTGGAGGAACACCATATATATGTAGGGTTGTGGGCTGATAGTTATTCGTAACATTTTCGGGTCGTTTGACACGACTACGGTGGCCGTCGTATGTATGATGTAATTAGGTTGTGCGTGGACTATTTTGGGAGGCTCAATATGTTTATTATTAATGTTGTTTGGGCTGTTTGGTGATTGTTTTGAATGGTGTGAAGTCATATATATAGGGGAGGTGTTGTCCGTTTCAACGTAAAATATGTTGTGGTCGATGCATAATAGTTATGACGCTTAAATGATAACGACAGTATCGTTTCTCTTAGTGTAGACTAAGGAGTTGTGACAATTGCATAGCTTGCANGATGATGATGATGATGATGCCCATAGAGGCGTATGTTTTATAAGTTTATGTATACCTACATATGTATCATGCATTTCATGTTAGTAGCCCTCAGAGGTACTCAGGTGTTCCAGGTTGTATATTCTCTATCCCTGCTTACATTACTATTCGTATTTATGGTTCCCTGTCTTACATACTCAGTACTTTATTCGTACTGACGTCCTTTTATTTGTGGACGCTGCATGTCGTGTTGCAAGCCCTGATAGACAGGCAGGTGCAGCTCCCCCACCATAGTAGGTTGTCCAGTTCAGCAGTAATTGGCGAGATCCCTTCTCCGGACTTGCCATGGTCTTGGTATGCATTTTTGTTATAGACATTATGGGTATGTCGGGGCCCTGTTCCGGCTATGTTGCAGCACTTACGTTCATTTAGAGGCTCATAGACAGGTGTCGACTCATGTATAGTTTGGTATGCCTTGTCGGCTGGTTTTTGTTGTATAGTCTTTCATGGTAGCGTGGTAGCTCGTACCTTATATTTAGTTTCTTGATTGTCTGGTCATCCCCTATTATGTATGTTCATGCCATCATATTTTATTGTTGGTTGTCCATGATCCATGTCTACCATTTATATTGATCTCGTCAACCCTAAAAGATAATAAAAAAAGGTTAGATGAATTGTATGTTGGTGCTCGGCAAGTATGGTCGGGTGCTAGTCATGGCCCTCCAGTTTGGGTCGTGACAACGTATTACAATTGCCTCTATATAAAGCTGAAGGTAAAATATGAAAACACCTACTACAATTGAACTATGTTAAAAAACGGACGCTTGGAACGGGTTCTTCTATCTGGTTCATGTAGCTTCAGCTTTGCACACTTGAATAACACACGAACTGCTTGCAAAATGCCTTGCTATTTTTCTCTCAATTCACATTTAACTTTTTCTTTCATGCATACATGTAAATGAGAACATCCTGCAATATCTATAGTTAGTAGATTAAGAAATAACTAGAGTTCTAATGCTACTCTTTCTTGTGGAAGAGTTCTAGTTGATCTCAACTTCTAACTCCTCCCTTATCTTGGATAGTGCACTATTTGATTAAGGAGTCTTTCTCCTTATCACTTATCCAACCTTTTTGATCAGGAGATATTAATTATATCAAGTTAAGCTTATCTCCTTCACGTGCATCCCACATGCTCGAATTTGCTCGTGTTTATGCACACAAGGGATGGACCTGGTTAATAGCTGAGCTTCCTTTGTCAATCTTCAAAACAACCTTCACTTGGACCAACATTACATTAACGCTAGGAGATATGCTTATAAAGGGATTACAATTTACAAGTATGCTTACACATTATTTGATGATTTTTTCATCATATCATTTTTTTTTCATGAAGATTTGAGTTACTTAAAATCATAATGGATGGATTTTATAGCACTAGATTTGGTCATCAGTAACAGTTCCCCTTAGCTTTTTTGTGTTAAAAAATGAAAACGAAGCTACTACACTTCATCGCAGGATGAGGGGTCAATGAAGCCAATATATAGTTCTTTATGTTTGGCTATTTGATCTTCTTCAGTCTTTGAAGTTGGACTCTTCTTTGCCTCATCATAAAGATCATGTTTACACTTTTCAACCTCGTCCTTACTTTGATAATGTCCTTGCCTTGAGTTGAATCTCTATCTCGTCCTGTAGTCACCATTGCCATGATACCTGTCTCTTGTTGGAAACTTCCCCCTCCATGTTTCACCCCTGTTTGCATCTCTCTAACCAGTAAATGGTCTCTCATATCTGCCAGGATGATGTGACATGTGCTCAGCTCTTTCATTCTTTCTTCCTCCATCTACCTCAGGGTGCGAAGGATTAGGCATAACAAGCTCCGTTGCTGCTTTCTCAGTATCCACTAGAATCTTTTCCTCCCTAAATGACCTTTTCTTCACATGTGGTTTAGGATCTTCCTTTACTTCGAAAGTACCTGTCATGGCGCCAAACATCACTTTGTTTGCCTGAAACTTTGCTTTTCTCATCATTCATCTGTTTATCAGTTGTTGTCGTTCCTATATATATCGAAGGAATTCAAAAGATCCAACAATGACGGTATGTCAGATTTAAAGTTCTTCATACACCACAAATAAAGACTCTTACTATCTTACAATACCTAGATTTCAGTCGTCTCATTAAAACATCTATTTGTTTCTCTCTAGCCAAGTGTTCCAGAGAATGTAGGAACTACATTCTAATAGTGTGCTTGCTAGCAAATGGTAATGCAGATCAGCTGCATAGAGCAAGTTTTATTCTTCCTGGCATGATCGGTTCCAGTGCTCTTTCGGATCTTTCCACCATCCTCGCTCAGTTGCTACCTTATGCCCGGAGCTTCGATCAACTTTCATCATATCATTTAGTTGTCTTTCAAAGTCTTTGAAGAAAACCGTAAAAACTATATCAAATCCCTCCTCCACAATATCTATGTATATATATATATAGCCTCTTGGCTTCTTGTTATGCATTTTCCCCTTCATCTCCTTCCAACACTCTTTCTTGAGAATCTCTGTCTCTTCCTCAAATTTACTCATAGGTGCTGAAATGTCCAAATTGATTTTCTGGGAAAAGCATTTCTTTTCTATGTCCCACTCAAGATTAGTTGATGGGAAAATCTGGCTTTGAATCCACTCTATTACGTAAATTTTGTTACATAATTCACCACTACAATCTTGTCTCCACCACCAATATTTACCCCTCATTGTTTGGTATTTCTTGATTTATCATCTCTATTTAAAGCAGAACATAATTCCACTGCGTCCTGCATCCTCTGCAGGATTCTCCTCCATCTCTGCGTCTTTAGGATTATCCTACATCTCTCCGATGCAACTACGATGAGTACACAATATCTTGAAATATATATATATATATATATTTGAATTTTTTTTCCTTTTAATTTTGTTTTATATGTCATACATAGATTTTGACAATATATAAGATTTTCGAAAAGTTTTTATTAATATACAAAAGATGCACGTGTGACGCATGAGATGCATGTGAGGCGCACACGCAACTAGTTTTATTTGATTTACTTGAGACTACCTAAGTTTTTAAGTATTTATTTCTAATACCATCTTCAATAAAATCAGATCCGTTTTATAATGAAATATCTCGATAACTTAATTATTTTAATTTACTTATACGCTAGGCAACTATTAGGCGCGATTTAAATTTTTCAATTACAGGTTCGCCCGTGATTTAAAGTCTATTTATAATAAATTTATTTCTTCAATTGGAATAGATTCATTTTAAAGGCCATTTGTGGGGAGAGACAACTAGCTTTAGCTCGTTCTTTTGAAAGACAAGCAGTTTTTTAACACTTCAGCTCACTTCTTTTATTCCACTTGATATGTATTGCAGTATCAATTATTAACGGTTAAATCCGTAACAAACTAAAGGAATCAGTAAGCTTATACTTCATTTCATACGAATAGCCCAAGCCATTTAAATCACAATAACTACTAAACTCAATCTAGTACAAAAATATTTAAAATTAACATTTATTTGCATGTAAACAACAACAATATTGCAGCGATTACAAAATACTATAAAGTGCAGCAATAGACTGGGCATGTAGCAGAATTGGACATCCATCTATGGATGCAATGAGGGTTGAACTTGGAACGAACTTAGATTCCAATGGAACAGTAACCAAAATACTCAATTATATTAATAAAGTTGGAGTTCAATTACAATCTTCGAAAGTAAATGCAACGACTCAATTGGCTAAAGTGCAAACGGAAATGCAGAAATGTTGAAAGTAACAACTATGGATAGATAGACTGAAGAAGGAGATGCGAAGATAAACTGAAGAAGGTGCTGAGATACCAGAAGAAACGGGGATGAGAAACAAAGAGTTGCCTTGGCACATGATTTATAATAGCCTACTGATAGCGATACCCCATACTATTTAACGACGCCCTCAGCCTGGATCCCAGATTAACCTTTGTGAAGGCTTGGCCCAATTGCTTCTTCTCGGCCTAGTGTCTATTTGTGTGACATTTTTGTTGGTGTCCATATAGAGTTGGGGTCGATTCATAACAATACTTCCGACCTCAATAAGAACATTGTCTTCAAGGTTCGAACAAATCAACATTGATATCATAATTGCGAGGCTCGAATGTGTGTCACTGGTAGCAAGATGAAGAACAAAGGCCACCACTCTTATAATTTCCTCCTGCTCTTGCTTGATAATACCAATAATTTTCATAGCCATCCTTGTTTCAAAAATATCCCAACCATCACGAACGGCTAGGATTTCATAGAATTTAAAATGATTGAGATAGTTAAATAATTTTGGATCCCCCAAATGACACCTTTTGATCTCCTCCTTGGTTGCTACACTAGTTGGCCTTCCATTTTGGACAAACTGCTCCACAATTTTACTTTGATGGATTGATTTGGTATTTCTAATTGTTTTGACACTGCTATGTGCGTCAAGAACTGGATATGACTCCAAAACTAGTTTTTCCACATCCCACCTTTCAATGGTTCTATGACCACCAAAATAGGCAAGATAGGGCATAAACATCGTAGCGGTTTCAGTCTTGTCGGTGCCATTTTCATCCCTAACTAAGAAAATATTGCTTTTACCCACAATAATCATTGTCATGTTATTAACACCAGAATTAGCAACTGAAGATGTGTTCACAAATGTAACCACTATACAAGTATGCATAACAAGACCTATAACCATGATTTCTTGTGCCCACTCCTTAACATGCTCAAACCCGTCGAAGCTAGAATTGGTCTCCTTGAAGAACTGATAAATAGTTTTAGAAGCACGCTCTACACTAAATCTCTCTATTGCACCTGCTATCAACCAACTACAACCATGATCTTTTCGATTTATAGTGGAACTCTTGAGCATTATCAGATTGAGTTTAGTTATAACCTGCCCCGCAATCCTATACTTGTTCAAGAGGATACCATAAATAAATGCATCACCTAAGCCATGATGTAATCTATGGCATGCAACCAACTCTACTACTTCAATGACACCAGAAAATGTGTAACCAGCACCCTGTATAGCTCGAAGCTTCACTTTAGATCCACTCCTTAATTCAAGTACTACCCACTTTTGTAACATGGCAGCAAGTGCAGCTACCGCAGCATGCGTCTTTATGTACTGTTGTGGTGTATCATAAGTTTCTGTAGTTAAGTCTTTCATTAGACTAAAGAGAAGTTGCTCGCTCGTCGCACAAAGGCAAGTATTTACCCCACCAGGATCAAAGACAATAGACAGAGAAGTAAACATTGTTTTGTGAACTAGAGCGTGTTCTTTTAGAAGGCCACACTCAAACTCCATAAAAAATTTATCAAGATGTGGATCCTCAATATTCTTAGGCACCCGAAAACATATATCATGATGCATGGGATAAAAGACCGTAACACCGAATTCAACTCCACCTAATTGCTTCATATTAGACAATTTTGCAAATAAACAACTTCATTTTTTCCCAACTGCATCAAATAGTGTATGTGCCTCCTCGTTCTCTGTAGAATCTGTTAAAGCCATGAACTCGAAACTTACTCCTGATCCCATACAAAATGATGTGTTGCAGGTATGCTAATTGTTATAATAAAGATACTGTTAGAAATTTTTGGGAGAGGAAGACAACTAAACAAACACTCAAAACTCACTATTAGAGAGGTANATATATATATATATATATATATATATGAAAATATTAAATTAATGTAAACAAATCTAAACAAATGCGGACAAATGGAAACAAGTTTATTACTATTTTTAACATTCCCCCTTAAACTTGTTTTATTACTCCAAGCGTCATCCTTAACTTTTGAAAGGCGTCAATCTTCAAAGGCTTGGTAAAAATATCCGTAACTTGATCTCCAGACTTCATATGCTCAAGCTACACAACTTTATTAGACATGCAATCTCTAGTAAAATGATATCTCGTATCGATATGCATGATTCTTTCATGAAATACCGGGTTCTTGGCTAAATCTATAGCCGATTTGTTGTGAACAAAAATCTTTGTAGCATCCTTCTGTGGTTGGTGAAGTTCTTCCAACAAGCTCCTTAGCCAAATTGCATGGAAAACACACGAACAAGCTGCTACATACTCAGCTTCACAAGTTGACAAAGTCACAATTGGTTGCTTCTTAGAATTCCATGTAAATACGAAATTTCCAAGAAAGAAAACAGACCCAGTAGTACTTTTTCGATCATCAATATCACCAACCCGGTCACTATCACAATATCCCACGAACTTTGATTCTTTAGAAGATGAATAAAGAATTCCATAATCAAGCATACCTTTGATGTACCGAAGTATTCTTTTGGCTACCTTTAAGTGCGAGGTAGTAGGAGTTTCCATAAAGCGACTCAGGAGTCCAATTCCAAAAAGAATATACGGCCTTGTACATGACAAATATCTTAAGCTTCCAATAAGACTCTTCAAAAATATGGGATTGACTCTATCTCCATCTCCATGCTTGGATATTTTAACTCCACATTCAACGGGGGTGCTTACGGGATTGCAATTCTCCATCTCAAATTTCTTGAGAATTTCCTTTGCATACTCTCCTTGAGAAATAAAAATGACATCCTTCCTCTGTGCTACTTGAATTCCAAGATAGTAGGACATTAGGCCAATGTCCATCATCTCAAATTCTCTAGCCTTTGCTTTCTTGAATTCTTCAAACATCTTTGGATTATTTTCTGTAAATATCAAGTCATATACATACAAGCAAACAAGTAAGATGTCACCATTTTTAGCAATCTTTACATAGAGGACATGTTCATGTGGGCACTTAGAAAAACTATTTGCCTGGAAATATTTGTCAATTCTACTAATCCAAGCTCGCGAGGCTTACTTCAACCCATATAAAGCCTTCTTTAATTTCAAGACTTTATCTTTTTGTCTTTCAACCTTATATCCTGAAGGTTGATCAATATAGACCTCTTCCTCCAATACGCTATTCAAGAAAGCTGACTTCACATCCATTTGATGGATTTTCTATTGATTTTGTGCCGCCAAAGCAATGACAAAGTGAATTGTTTCCAAACGAGCAACCGGCACAAATACTTCATCATAGTCAATACTGGCCTTTTGCTTGTAGCCTTTAGCTATCAGTCTTGCTTTTTACCTTTTTATTTCTCTCTTGGAATTCTTTTTTAGCTTGTACACCCATTTGACTCCAATGGTGCTTTTGCCTTTTGGAAGTGTGACCAAATCCCGTGTATCATTCTTTTTTATAGTTTTGATTTCTTCATCCATTGCATCCCTCCATTTGGAATTTTGGCAAGCATCTTCAAAGCTTAGAGGCTCTGTCCACCAGCAAACAAAAATGAGTAAAATCATACACGTCATTTTTTACCACTTCCGTGTTTTCAGACAAGTCACAGAGACTTCTACTCTTGTGAGGTGATTTACTTGAACTTGAGCTTGATTCCCCAACTTCTTGATATTGTGGGGGAGGTGTTGAAGGTGGTGCGATATCCTGCTCCTCATCTTCTTCTTCTTCATCTTCAAAGAATGAACTAAAAGAGTATTCTTGCTCTTTAGATTTCCACTCCCAAGCATTATTTTCATCAAACTCAACATCTCCACTTATGGTGACCTTGCCATTTTTGGGATTATACAATTTATAACCTTTAGAACTTTGATCATAGCCAATGAAGACATACCTCTCACTTTTGTCATCAAGCTTAGACCTCTTCTCATCTGACACATGTGCATATGTGATGCTCCCAAAAACTCGCAAATGAGCAACTTTTGGCTTGAAATCGCTCCATGCCTCTTGTGGTGTTTTTCCACGAACACTTTTGGTGTGACACCGATTTGATAAGTACATCGCACAAGCAACAGCTTCTGCCCAGAACTTTTTTGGCATATTTTTGCTCTTCAACATATCCTTGCCATGTTGAGAATAGTTCAATTCTTTCTCTCCACAATGCCATTTTGCTGTGGTGATCTCGGAACTGTCAAGTAATGACGATTCCATTTTTCTCACATAAAATTTTGAATTCATTTGAAGTGAATTATCCACCATTATCAGACCTAAGTGACTTAATTTGATAGCCGCTTTGCTTCTCCACCATGCTCTTAAACTTTTTTAAGGTTTGAAACAGCTCCGATTTTGCCTTCAAAAAATAAACAAAGTTTTTCGATAAAACTCATCAATGAAAAGTGAAAAATAATTACTTTTACCAAGTGAATTTGGCTTGATAGGTCCGCACACATCCATGTGAATCTACTCGAGAGGGCATCTTGCTCTTGTTAAAGACTCTTTAGGAAAGCTTTTCCTTGCCTGCTTTCCAAAGAGACATCATTCACAAAGTTGGTTGGGATGATCAATTGTTGCAATCCATTCACCATGATTTCCTTCTTCATCAACCTTAGGCTATCAAAATTCAAGTGACCAAATCTCATATGCCAAAGCTAAGATGAATCTTTTGCACATGAAAACAAGCACCTCGGAACATCATTTTGAAGATATAAGATCAATATTTTATTATAGCCATAAGTACTTTGGCTAACAATCTTCCCTTTTCATCTCTCATAAAAAACTTTTTGTCTTTCAAATGAATGTCATAATTTTTCTCCAAAAGTTGTCCCAAACTTAAAATATTACTTTTCATCTCCAGCACATACAAAACATTGGACATTAATTGATGACTTCCATCTTTTAAGCGAATTAAATCGTACCTTTTCCTTTAATTTGAACTCGTGAAGAGTCTCCAAAAGTGATTGAGCCACCATTCCGCTCCTTAAGCTCCACAAATAAATTTTTCATTCCACAAATATGACTACTTGCACCGGAGTCAATGTACCATTTGTTCTTTTCCACACGTTCTTCTCCTTTGCATGCAAGAAGTAGAGTGGCATATTCATCTTTATTTTTGATCTCCACAAAGTTATTTTTCTCCTCCGAATTATCTTTACATTAGCAGGAAAAATGTCCAAATTTATGACAAGTATAACATTCAACATTCGATTTTTCATACCTTCCTTGATTTTGTCTCCATCCTTTGCCTCTTCTACGACCTCTTCTTTGACTATAATCTTGGATTTTATTGTCTCTATTTGGTGGTTGACTACCACCTCTTCCTCCTTTATCATGACCTCTTCCATTTCCCTGACCTCTTTGCTGCGAACCATGCATTTTATCTTTCTCATTGAAGGAAAGTTTTGCTTGCAACGCCTTTTCAACCGATTCTTCTTTCGGTTTCTTCAATTTTTCTTCATGGGCTTGCAAAGAACTCGAAAGTTCATCTATGGTCATGGTGTCCAAGTCTTTGGACTCTTCAATAGCAACAACAATATAATCAAATTTTGAATCTAGGGATCGTAGTATTTTTGCAACGACCCTATCATCCTTCAACTCTTCACCATATCTTTTCATTTGATTGACAATAGCCAAAACACTTGAAATGTAATCTGAAACAGATTCATTTTTCTTTTATATGAAATGATTCAAACTCTCCTCTTAAGGTCTGGAAACGAACCTTTTTCTCTTTGTCCAAACCTTTAAAGGAAGTTTGAAGAATATCCCATGCTTGCTTGGAGGTTGTTGCTTTGCAACCTTCTCGAACATCTTGTCATCCAAACCTTGATGGATGAGAGTGAGTGCCTTTTGATCTTTCTTATTTGTGGTTGTGATATCTTCCGCTTCATCAACTCCAGACTCTACTGGTTCCCAAACATCATAGGCACCAAGCAAGGCCTTTATTCAAATACACCAATTCCCATAGTTCTCTTTTGTGAGCATAAGAACTTGGAATGGTGTTCCATTAGTGTTTGTCATCTTTTCTCCAAGTTTGGTTGTCTCTCAACACACCGGCTCTGATACCAAATGTTAGAAATTTTGGGAGAGCAAGACAACTAAACAAACACTCAAAACTCACTATTAGAGAGGTGGAGGAAAGGATGATTTTTGTTCAACTTTACTTGCTCCAAGTGGCTAGCATACATGAGTATTTATAGTAGAACTACTACATATATCTAGTCTAAACTTCATGTGTACATATTAATTAAGTCCACACATGTACACACTAGTCCATACATGCCTACACTAGTTCACACAAATTTACACATGTCCACACCTCACTCTTTTCTAACTATATGTATGAAAACATTAAATTAATGTAAACAAATCTAAATAAATGTGGACAAATGAAAATAAGTTTATTACTATTTTTAACATATATTTGCACCAGGATCCAATAAAAATTGACTCAAAATATGTTGACCAGTGAATCTCCCAATAGATTTTCCATTTTCAGCTTCAAAAAGTACTTCAACCAAATGCATTACACTTGTAGAACTGGTGATCTCATTCATTAAAATTCTTGATGCAAAATATCGATCGGCAATAATTGTAGGTTCCATGAAAAAACTAGCAAGATACACGTCCTCAAAGGTCACCACATCAGTTTATAATTTAGGAGTGCCACCACTATCAAGAGAGTTAGCATCTACATACCTTGTTGGCATATCACGTTCAAGATGCTTATTTTGCACTGCAGATTCTCGGCCATCAAAAGGAACTAGACGTGATACCCGAGTTGCACTTGGCCTTATCTCCTAGAATGAAATTCTATGGGAATTTTCATTGAGCACCTCATCTTCCTCTGATGTTGCATCTATTAATTCAGATCTGCTCATATTAGTAAGGACTTTGGAATTTTATCCCTCAATAATGAACACCTCGGAGCTACTGTTTTGATGCGATATTTCGTCGAATATGTGGTCTTCTATTTCTGTATAATAGTCATTGACTGAATAGTTAGACTTGACTAAGTTTTCCTTATTTCCCAAGCTTTCCTCGAAAACCTCATCTATGGAAGTTGCTAAAAGTTTTCCATCGATTAAACAAGTATTAGGATCATGACTTTCTAGGCTCACAACTATAACTAGCCTTTCAACGAACAAATGGTCCGCATTTGAAGTTTCATCTTTCAAAGCAGATTGGCACCCAATTGAGTTGGGGATATGGAAATTGATAAAGGAAGACACTTGGGCCTCTGGTGGGACTACTGTTGCATAACCCAATTCGTTTGAACAAGCATGAGAAGGTTTGTCCAAACGCCCCATCATAGCATCGAAGTTGTGATTTCCCAAAATATAGAATTAGTTTCTCCTTGAAATGCTTCCAATCATGGAATTACTTATTGTGGAATAGCCCATCGAACCAATTGAGGGCATTACCTTCAAGGTAAAAGTAAGGAAGAGGTAGCATATCCTTCTCTAAGAAGCCAAGGTAGGTGAAGTACTACTCATCCTGATGAACCCAGCACGCTAGGTTATCGCTGCTGAATCGTTCGAGTACCACCGCTGCCATAAAGTACGAACAATGAAAGCACCAATGGAAAGAACTAAGATTTCAATGGAACAGTGCTCAAAATACTCAACTATATTAATAAAGCTAGAGTTCAATTACAATCTCTGAAAGTAAATGCAACGACTCAATTGGCTAAAGTGCCAATGGAAATGTAGAAATGCTGAAAGTAACAACTATAGATAGGTAGACTGAACAAGGATATAAGAAGATAGACTGAAGAAGGAGATGAGATACTAGAAGAAACAGGGGGGACAAATAGAGAGTTTCCTTGGCACATAATTCACAATAGCCTACTGATAGCGATACCACATACTATTTAGCGACGCCTTCAGCCTGGATCCCAGATTAACCATTCCGAAGGCTTGGCCAAATTGATTCTTCTCGGCCTAGTGTCTATTTGTGTGATATCTTTGTTGGTGTCCATATTGAGTTGGGGCTGATTCATAACAAAACTTGTGGCCGCATGGAAGTTGGACATCTCCTCCAATCATCTCTTTCTAGTAGATTGTACAAATCTCCGCACGACGCTCCTTCATCTATATGTTCCTGTCCACTTGATAATCTTGGCTACATAGACACCGCCTCCTAATGCAACAAATAAATGCACATGTGAGTACTACCAGAGCCCCAACAAAAGAGTAGAATTTCTACACAGGTTCTGATCAGCTACTACGGTGGTGCACGTGTTGCACAACAACATGGAATACGAACAGTAGAGTTAGCCCGGATAGCAACATGGCATAAGAGGGAGACATTGAAGAAGAACCCACTTAAGAACCTGAAATGTGTTGCTGAATCTTAACCCATATGCAAAAACGACAAGGAGAATGTCTCTTTTGGCTAGGAAGAGAAGCTTACTGTTGTCACGTGAAAAAAAGGCTATTGTTGTTAAGGAGGAGAAAGCTAGGCTTGAGGAGAGGTTCAAGACTGGGAAAAATCACTCGTTCTTCACCAAGGGCGGACCCACGTAGGGTCAAGAGGGTTCAAATAAATCCGCTTCTTTGAAAACTCTTGATAATTTATATAGGTTCATTCTGTAAAATGACTATATAATTATTCTTTGATCCCACTTAACAAAATTCATCTTGTGGAGAGATGGTCCAGCGGGTTCAAAATTAAGTGAGGGGTCTAGAGTTCGTGACCTGCTGTATGCAACTTTTGTGTGGTTAGAGTTCGCTAACCACATGATTGTTTATTTTAGTATTTTTAAATGGTTGGTTTTTAATTAATGCATAAATAGGAAGTTTTAAATTAATAAGGCGAGAGACACAAATTTTAAAAGCAAATGAGATGAGTAAACTAACCCAAAACCATCAATTGCCTAGTAGCATAATTTTCAAGATCTGGTGTCACAAGTATATAAGCTACTAGTAGAATATACAAAAGAATACTACGTTACTGTCTAAAGTGAAATAGACAGAAAATAAAGCAAAAGAATGACTTGGGCTGCTGTAGAACGGGCTCGGAAGATAGCTCACCGCAGAGTCTCGTGGAATCAAGGATGCACACCAGAATGATATCAAGATGCACCTGCCTCAGATCTTGCACATTTAGTGCAGAAGTGTAGCGTGAGTACATAAATAACATGTACCCAGTAAGTATCCAGTCTAACCTCGAAGAAGTAGTGACGAGGGGTTGACTCCGGCACTTACTATGGTTTAACAATAAAATAATGGAAATTCTAAATAAGCATGGGCTATGTAAATGAAACTATAAACTCAATAACAAGAATCAACTAAACTTTTCTTTACTGATAATAATTTCTAAGTAAATTTCCATTATTTAACAATTTAACCTTTCAATCCAATGAAATAATATTAATTAAAAATTGGACCCGATCGTGATGGCGCCTCTCGTGAAACAAAGCCAGCCGATACAAACCCCCAAACAAATTAAGATAGTTATAATAATTCATTTTATGTCATAAATAAACTATAAATCCCCAAATAAAGAGTAGAATAGAAAAATGCGAAAACAACACAGCCCAACATCGGGGTGTCACCAGTCATGAACATCTAAAAATCCGTCTAAGAGTATCAAAAGACTACACAGTCTAGTACAAAGCTAGTACAAAGGAAAAATAAAGATAGGAAGGAGAAGCACTGGGCTGCGAACGTCGAGCAATTACCTAGTAAACGCCGAACAACCTACTGGAAAGCAATCAGCCCTCGTTAGCGTGTTACACTCCGCAATATTACGATGATGTTACGTCTTGCAGTATTATATTACGATAATGTTGCGCCTTGCATTATTACATTATGATGATATTACGCATCACAATATTAAGTTACGACAATGTTGCACCTTGTAGTATTACATTACGATGATGTTACGCTTTGTAGTATTAAGTTACGACAATGTTTCACCCTGCAGTATTACATTACCCTGATGTTACACTTCGCAGTAATAAGTTACGACGATGTTACACCCTGTAGTATTGTACATTGAATTTGTCGTAAGGTGATTGACATCAGTCCAAGGAAAAGATTATCTGGGGATTATAAGGATTATAAGTGATGAGTAAATTCGTAAAGGTAAGAGGTAAGTAAAATCGAAGAAAATGAATTTTATCGAAATTTGGTATTTTGGGATAAAATATGGCCCGAGCTAAAATATCCGGTATTTATAGACTAGTGCCATACAAGGTACTACATGATCATGCTAGTAAGGTGTACAAGGTATGTTAAAAGAGAGCAGTATTTTAAATAAGTTGAGACAATATTTAAATTATATGGGTAATTGATTAATTATAGGGTAACATGACATTACCCAGTTAACTAATAAGTGGATATGAATTACACATAGCAATAAGCCACAATTCAAGAAATGACTAAGTAGTCATTTATGCCTAGGTCGCTACCTAAGGATAAATGAGAATTTAATGTGACCAAATCAAGACTTATCAGTCTTGATACATTATCATTCTGGATAAAAAAGCATAACCTAAAAAAACGCGAAAAATTCCAAAAACAAGATACTTCAGGGATCAAAAAACCTTCCTAGTTCAAAGACTTCAAAAGGTTTTGTCTTTGGTCCAAAAGAGACATTACAAACATAAGCTAATTAACTCACTTTGATCTTCTTCAAAAACGTTAGAAACAGAAGCGCATTTTCCAACGAGAATTTGTTGGAATAGTAGCAACGTGGAATTTTGCGGTTCTAGAAGAGTACGGTGAAATCTTCGCCAAGAATATTATACAGAGTTTTCCTACTCCAGGTATGTTAAGGCTATCCCTTCATTCTTTTGGCATGACCAATACGACACAAACGAAACATGCAAATGCACAATTTCCATACATGACTCTATTAATACAAGTACTAGAAGTGCTTATGTTTATTCTATCATTTGTTCATGGGTCTCAAAAATACGTAAGTTGGTAAAATTTATTTCATGATATTAATCAGAGGCATAATGGTCTTATGACACTCCAAGAGATTTTATTGGCGTACTTTTCATGCATTGCATTTATGTACATTGACCCATGACCAGATGGCGTTATATATGCGTATATATGTATGTATATATATATATATATGGAATATGAGAAAGGTTATGGCGTTATATACGCACCACCACCTGATCAGCTGGTATACGTTGATGATTTTGCCCACAATGGCCAAGATGATATGATGGGATGCCCTCAGAGGCTGTTGATATTATGAAACATGTAACTATGCATGACATGACATTCATACGCATATGCATGATACTATAATTATTTCATGATTTACAAAGTTATTCAGACCTACGAGTGGAGTCATTTACTCCATATTTCCTCCATGTCTGTTATGTACTTATTTATGTGCCTTACATACTCGCTACATTATTCCTACTGATATCCCTTTTTGCTTGGGGACGCTACATTTCATGCCCGTAGGTCCTGATAGACAGGTCGAGATCCCTCCAAGTAGGCTATCGGCTCAGTGGAAGGTGTTGGTGTGCTCTATTTGCTTAAGAGTTGCTTGTTTGGTTTATATGAGTTAGATGTGTATTGTTTGGTATGATGGGACTCTATCCCGACCTTTATAAAAATTATGTATTCTTAGAGGCTTGTAGATAGATGTCATGTGCGTAAACGATTTTATGGCCTTATCGGCCTATGTTCAATGTTTAAGTGGTTATTTGGTCTTAGAGGACCATATATTTTACGTATAAGTTGGCATTACATGTTGTATTCTACCTATTTCACGGCAGCCTCACTGGCTCAGTTATTTATGATAATATGATATGAAAAGATATGTTATGTTGGTATTCAGTTGAGTAAGGTACCGGGATCCCATCGCAGCCTATCGGTTTGGGTCGTGAAAAAGTGGTATCAGAGCAGTTCTATCCTAGGGAGTCTACAAGCCGTGTCTAGTAGAGTCTTGTTTATGGGTGTGTAGTGCACCATACTTATAAGCAGGAGGCTACCGGGCATTTAGGACTATCACTCTTTCTTCTTACTCTAGATCGTGTGGTAGAGCTCAGTATTAAGAATTCAAATTCCTAACTTCTATTTTATTCGTAATAAGATGATACCTACATCCACAAAGACGGTTGGTAAAAGACATGGTTATGGAAGAGTTGAATCAGAGCAACTTGACTTTGCATCATGCTTATGATGAGTAACTGTGAGGTCTTCAGCAGATCATGTTCATACTGAAAGGTGTAAGCCTCTTGATAAGGAACCTTAAAGCAAGAATATTTATCCACCTTTATGGTGAAAGACAATGCTTTCAAGAAGTAAAAGAAGCAAGGTGAAGAATGGTTCGAGGCGTCCAGTTAATGAAGATTATTAGTATTACAGTTCCGGCAGAAAAATATAAGCATTAAGAGTTACCCTCAACAGTAAGAGAGGTATGTACAATTGGCCGTACCCATCTCAGTTATGCCCTATGGGGGCTAACAG